TGACACCAGAGTGTTGTTCTCATACTTATTATGGCTCTCCCGGGGAGTGTCCCCTACCATTCAATGCCATAAAATTCATTAGCAATTTAATAATTAATTTCATAATTATCCAATTAAACTTACATTCGTTATAATGAGAACCCAGTATAAGTTGAGGCACAACTAAAACTGAAAATACAAATATTTTGTTTGTAGACATTCTTAAAACAAAAAATGTTTTATAAAACAAATTAAGTTAAACTAAATGATTTTTACTGAAAAATAAATATAACTTACCTTCTTTTATATACCTCATATATTATACATTTGTGTACCGAATATCACTAATTATAAATTGGTCTGAATATTGAATTTGTTGTCAAACTTATGTAAAGATTTTTAGTGCAGATTCTCTCTTTACATTGCATATGAACATTAAGTACTTAAATATTCCACTCTATTAATGATATTGAAATGATAATTTATCAAAACTAGTAACTAACAGTGAATTTATAAAAGATAATCAATTAATTTACAAGAAAGTGTATGTTAACCTATTTATAATTTCAATTGTTTTAAAGTACAGATTATTCTGTGTTCTTATGTTTTAATAAGTTGTGACTCCAAATAACTTTGAAAACTTGTTTTGTTGTTTTTACAACTTATAATTATTTATGTTTATTTTTATAAAACGTATATAACTCATTATGTTATTCATTCATTCATTATCAGCGATAACATCATCTGATTTTGATAATTAAAATTATTTTTAATTTTATTTAATTCCAATAAATATAAGTCTGTATAGAACATTATAAAACGTATATAACTCATTATGTTATTCATTCATTCATTATCAGCGATAACATCATCTGATTTTGATAATTAAAATTATTTTTAATTTTATTTAATTCCAATAAATATAAGTCTGTATAGAACGGGACTCTATTTTGGTTTTAATTTGTCCCACAGTTTGGTCTTTAATTATCAAATCTGTGGCAATATCTCTCTGATTATATACGATAACAACCGTCGCGTTATCGGGTCTGACGAACGCAACCGAATTAAAGTCATTCACTGTTTTGTCGGGTTTTATGGACACTCTCACGGAATCTGGTGCTAAGAATTTTGAGAAATGGCCCAAAATATAGAATTTCGGGTCTTTATAGTATTCTTTGCTGGTTGAGTTCACCAGAATTGGTGCTTCCGATGAAAAATGAGCCCAATTAGGCTGTCCGTACATATCGAGCACGAAATTCCACTCAACCCAACCCCTCGTCCAGTGCTCTAAATTCTGATATAAGAGTAGAAAGTGTTGACAACAATGTCATAAACAATGAGTTTCTTAATACTGTACTAACATCCATAATATCTCTGGCATAGGACTCTGAGTTACCCCAAACTCCTAATCTCATGAGAGTTCCCGGTTTTAAAATTTTAAATTCTTGGCAACATTCACTCGATATGACAAACTGATCAGGGTGTCGCTGATGAACAGTTTCCAACACATCCCACCATTTTGCCGCTCCATTCCCGTAGCAGTGATAAGCAATTCCTGTAAATTAATTAAATAACAATTATATAAATCTAATTAAATTTAATACAAGCGGTCAAACCATTGATATATTGAGCCATTTCCTTGTCGTTAAAGCAAACGTCGGCCCAATTGATTATTTTGTTGCCATTGTCGTCAAATACCATAAGATTGAGTTTATCCCTCCCATAACCTGCGGCTTTGAGTGCGGGACCCAGATCCAATTTCACGAAATCCCGTTCCATCGTCTCGTTAAAACCCAAACAATTGAATCCATAGTTCGGATTATATCCAGCCCCCGGTTCGTTCTCTACAGTCATTCCCCAAAACTCAATGCCATTGGCTTTATAGGCGTCCAGGAACCTGTCGTTCAAATACAGATCCATTCATTTATTTGTGGCATATATTTATATAATTTATAATTAAATTCTAAATGTCATTACTTAACAAAGTAGTTAGCCCATGTTTTGTAATATTTTGTACCCGGATTACCGATCAGGAATCCGCCTTTATTTATTTGTCCGCTAGTCTTCATCCACGCCGGCGAAGCCCAGGGACTCGCAAACAGATTCAACGAATGGGAACTCATATTTCGGGCCATTTTTATGTATGGGATCTGAATATATCACATAATGATTGTATACTTATACGGCATTTTTAAATGTTGCAAATGTTGCATGTTGCAAAAATACTAGAAAATACAAAAACTAATTGTCTGGAAATACTTTGTAGTCAAAGTCCTCCTTCTGGAGGGCGAATGTCTTGAGCTCGAAGTCGTCCTTTTGGTCGTTGTATGTATAGGCGCGCGGAGAGAAGTCTGCGCCAGCGATCGGCACTCGACACATATTATACTCAATACCATTGGCAGAGAAATAGTCCTTGATCACATTTGTGGCCAATTCTTGTGGCAAACTCTTCAGATTAAGACCACTCGCGTCAGTGAAAGCTCCGCCAAAACCCATGATTTTCTGGTATTTAGTGTTCTTATCGATTGTTAAAACAATACTCTCGTCCGCTGTCTCTGTATATTGTGTCGAGACTTTCAATTCTGTTTGTTTGAGTCGATCACCCTTTTTGTTGGTCTCAAACACAAGTACCGTTCCCTTCGGTTGTTTCACAATGGGATCCAAATCATCGCAATAAGTGGTATTACAGACACAGTACGGGCTGTCGTGCCCTTTACTGGCTATGCATTCGCGACGGCTTTCCACTATAAGATAATTTTTCAAATTAGTAATTAACTAATCATTTCAAATGTTAACATTCTTTCAAACCTAATGTTATGCCAATGAATACAATATTGAACAAAATTAATGAAAAGTATTTCATTGTGACTTATATTCTGGTAAGAATTTTAATGTTAAACTGAGCTAGAATAAATTGTGATACAGTATAAACTTTCCATTATATACTGTATGTTAGGATAAGTATCTGGCATTGAATTCACTTTTCACTTAAGAAGGAATTAAACACTTCACCCAAAGGTTATCAATAATATCAGCACATCATAACTGTTTACTATTTTTTTAACACTTTAAATACGATTAAAACAATATTTATAGTGTGCATAATTCAATTGCATTGATAACCTATAGTCTATAGATATACCCTTTAACTACTTGTAGATGAGTGGAGACCTAACTTAATCTATGCACTAACCCCTGTACAGGTATTACCTGTCAGGTAGTCTGATAATGAAAGATTTTAATATGGTCTTGCTATTCACTGATAAACGAGAAATTAAGCTAGGTTTGTTATACTGAACCCAAGTCGCCTAAAAACAGTGTATTTTTTCGACTCATTATTGTCTCTACCTTTAACTTACCCGTACACTACACATACTATTCTCCTAATCACTTTTAATGGAAAATTAGGTGTACTTGTTCACATTCACTGAATCGTCCTAAACTATGTTTTATAAATAAGATAATTAAATACTTACAGTATTGTGTGCATAGAGAACATCCAAGTACAATATGCTGTAGCATGGAACTTGTGTGTAAGTTCCATATCATAATAAATTATACTGATAAGTATTTACTGAATCCGTTATAAACATGCCCTGGTATACTGGTATAGATTCTATGCAATAGATTCTATTGATTCTATAGATTCTATTGAATAGAACATATGAGCTTTAGAGAACCAGATAGGCGCTAGCTATTTTTATTTAATTAATAATAAATATTTTTTGAAATAAAACTATGAATATTGTATGAATAATTGAATTCTGAGTCAAATTATTAATTATATACAAAAATAGCTAGGGCCTATCTGGTTCCCTAAAACTCATATGTTTAATTGACATTCATTTGGATTCTAAATATCATAATCCTATTACTCCAGTTTAATTAACTACTGGTACTATTTACAACAAACCACAACCAATTAATTCAATCACTAAATAGCATTTAAATTAAATTTTTAATTGACATAAAATTAAATAAATAAACATATTAGTATAATTAAAAGTAATTAATTTAATAACAAACATATTCATATGTTATGTATAAATTTCAATTATATACAATATATTTTTAATTAGTAATTAAATATTGAATTTACTTTATAACATAAACATTTAGTTTATCATAACTAATATGAGATGAAAAGTGAAATTATAATTAAA